GCAGGGAGCCCAATGTGGGACTCGATCCCAGGACCCTGGGATCATGACCTGAGCTGAAGGCAGACGCTTAACGACTGAGCCACCCAGGCGCCCCTTCATGGATCTCTTATGTTTCTGCATATCTTATAAATAGAGACACTAGATGTCTTTGTTATGAACTATCTTTTTGAGGATGCAGGTATTGTGAACAGCTTTGGAAGACAGAGATTCTCTCTCCCTCCAGAGCAAAAGGCAGGTTTGTTTACTGTCTAGTATAATAAAGATAGTGTCTCCCTCCAAGGCAAAGTTCAGGCTAACTTACACCTGGTATAGAAGATTTAGGTTCCTTATGCTTGGGGTTCCTCCCCTATATTGCAGCCACTGGGTGTGCATGCATCATCTAGTCCTGTTCATCTCTCACCATGGGAATAGCAGTTCAGGGTACCAGGGCAAACACTGATATTCTGGCTGTTGGGATTGCTATAGATCTTTGTCTCTGAACCAGGAGTCTCATGTCTTCTGCCAGCATCTCTGAAACTGTGGCAGGCTCACTCATTATCTTGGAGGTAAGGCAAAATCTGAGACCCTTCACAGTTCTTTACAGTTATTATGTAAAAGTCCTGAACTTGAACTGATAAGGCCATCTCCAAATGAATCCGTGACAAAAGCAGCGACATGAGTTGACTGAAAGATTAGTTACCTGAACCACTCACTGTGGAAAGTGTTTGGATATTCTGTTTGGCTTATACCTTTTAGGACTTGTTGGAACTAGAGATGGAAGCATTCCCTTATCCTTGCAGACTATAAGAAGGAGTATAATGGATGTTGGGGTGATTAATTATCCACTCCTCCTTTTCTGTATATTCTGCTTTTATAATTGAGTTAAAAAAAACCCAAAACTTCAGGAAGAGCCAGAGAACTTTTGCTAAATGTCTGCTTTATTCTGTTCTTTCTCACCTATACTGTTTTCTCAGGTTTGTGCAATGGCATCAGCTAAGCTAAACACCCTTCTTCAGACCAAAGTGATTGAAAATCAGAATGAAGCATGTTACATTTTAGGGAAGCTGGAACATGTTCTAAGTCAATCAATTAAGGAACAGACTGAAATCTACTCATTTCTGATTCCCCTGGTCCGTACCCTGGTTTCCAAAATCTATGAGCTTCTCTTCATGAACTTGCACCTGCCTTCTTTACCTTTTACCAATGGTAGCTCTTCATTTTTTGAAGATTTTCAAGAATATTGCAGTTCAAATGAATGGCAAGTTTACATCGAAAAATATGTAAGTTTTAATCTATTTTGAGTGAGATTTTTCTAAGTTGTCATTTTTATAGAAGTCTATGTTAAATTTTCTGTATATATATGTATATATTTATAAGATCGTGCCTTACATGAAGCAGTATGAAACCCATACATTTTATGAGAGTCATGAGGACATGGCACTTTATTGGAAGAATTGTTATGAAGCCTTAATGGTGAATATGCATAAACGAGACCGGGAAGGAGGAGAAAGCAAGCTTAAGTTTCAGGTAAAAATTATTAAATGTTTTTATTTTTTATTTTATTTTATTATTCTT